GGGGGCAGGCTTGGACAGGACACACCAGATGGGCTGCCCGGGGGCTGCAGGACCTGGCAGGACACCACTCCCCTGCTTTTGCTCGCGGTTCTCCCACATCGCTGCTTTCCCTGACACGACACACAGGAGGGTAGGCCCTGTCCTGCGCTCACATGCCCCGATGGGCTATGCTGGGCCCGAGGGGGGGTGTTGACGCTGCGGGACCTCTGTGGTCATTCCCCTATGTGCCCCAGGAGAGGCCGAGGGTCAGTAGAGAAGCCAGGAGTCAGCTGGGCAGCAGGGAGATGCTGATGTGGATGGAGGGTGGAGCACAGGCCACTGGGGAGGTGCTTTGGTGCCCGTTCTGGTGTGCTCAGGCTGGTTGTGTGGAGGCAGCGCTTGCTTCCTGCCTGTGTGGGCTGGGAGACAGCTCTGCAGAGCCACTCGGACCCATCGCTGCTTCCCCATCTCCTGAGCAAGGCCGGGCATCAGCCCCCTCCTCGGGAGGGCAGGTGATGGGGGAGAAGCTGGACTGGGGTCCCTCCAGTCTTCCGTCAGCATCTCCACCGCTGTGTTTGCAGGGCTGGGGCTCTGCACTGCGTTCCTGTGTGTGACCTGGTCGCTGCTGGACTACCACCAGTCCCTGCGCTCCTTCTTGCAGGACAAGTATGAGCTGAGCCTGGGCTCCTCCATCGTCTACTTCTTGTGGAACCTCTTCCTCATCTGCCCCCGCATCCTCGTGATCGCCCTCTTTGCCCTGCTCTGGCCTTACGGTGTGGCCGTGCACTTCCCGCTGGTGTGGCTGGCGATGTTCCTCTGGGTGAGCCTCCAGGGCACGAACTTCATGGAGTCTCCTGGCCCTGAGCAGCTCTACCGGGCCATGGTGGCCGTGATCCTCTACTTCAGCTGGTTCAACGTGGCGCAGGGGAGGACGCTGTACCGCAGCATCATCTATCACGGCTTCATCCTGGTGGACAGCGCGCTGCTGGCCTTGTCCTGGCTCTGGTGCCGGTCCCCCTCTGAGGAGCACTGGTACCTTGTTCCAGTGCTCTGGGCTGCCCTGCCCTGCTACCTGCTGGGGCTGGCGCTGAGGGTCGCCTACTACAAGTGGCTGCACCCCAACGCGCGGGGGCAGCAGGTGGGTGGCTGTGATGAGGTGGATGCCAACGGGAGCACCGATGGAGTGGAGCTGCGCTCGTTTGCGGTGCCAGAGCTCGTCAACAGGCGGATGTGGTGGCTGGTGCAGGCCCAGTTCCCCATCTCCTGGCCAGGGGATCAGCACATCCCAAAGGGGGCTGCTGCCATCGAGTCGGCTGTTTGAGGCCGGCTCCTCAAAGTGACTTGCCATGGAGACAGATCCGGGAGCCCTGCTCCTGGCTCCCCCTCCCCAGGCTGCTGTTTTGGGCAGCTGGAGGGACCCGGCAGAACCCCAGGGTGATGTCCAGTCCATGGCACACGGCATGGGAGAGCCATAGTGTCCGTGGGGGCCCAGCATGCTGTGCCTGCACTTGCACTGCTGTGTCACCTTCTCTTGTTATTTATTAGCAGTTTTTTTTTAAAAAAAAAACAAACCAAACCCCAAAGAAGCAGTTTGTTCTCTCCTGTGCTCGGTTGCTGCTGGGGAGGTGGGTGCTGCTGGGGGAGAGTGTGTTCCCTGTCATCTTCCCGGTTCCAGCCAGGTTCTCCTCCTCCTCCTCCTGTTTTGCTGTGAAGGTCAAAGCTCGCCCGTTATCACCAAGCTCAGGGAGGGACGGGGAAGGAGGACTGGACAGGACGCTATGTGCTGGGTGGGCAGGGGCAGGGTGGTGCCTGCACCCTGGGACGGCGTTGAGGGTCAGGGCACAGGGGTGGGGGTACAGAGCTTTGTGTTCCCAGCTGGGCTCTGGAGCCTTGTGCTGCTGCCCTAGGCCATTGCTTTTCTCCTTCAGCTGCAAATGCTGTCTGTGGGGTGGTGGTGGGGGGAGCAGCAGTGCCAGGGGACTCATCCTGTGGGGTGGGGGAAAAGCTGTGTCCTGACGTGTGGCCCCGTGGTGGTATGGACACCTCAGGGTCCCTTTGCTGGCATCACCACCAACCCCCGTCCCCCCACCCTTTTCCTGCCATCGTACCCAGGCTGGGGGTGGTTTCTCAGCCCTAGGTGGATGTGGTCAGGGTGGGGCTGTGCCAGCGCCTGGGCTCACTCGACTGCTGCCCCCCAGCTCAGTGCCAAAACCAGAGCAGGCCCCAAAATGGCCCCTGGCTCTTCGTGGCATTGCCCAGGCAGCAGCCAGGGGATATCCTGGTTGCCCGCAGTGTTTGCCCTTGGCCCCTTCCCTTTGCCTCCATACCCCAGGCTCCTGTCAGGGACCCCTCCTGATACTGGGGGAGGCAGCTGGACACAGCTGGAGGAGCGGCTGAGCTGCTCTGGGCCCTGCTGGTGCTGTCACAAGACAACCCAGCAGCCAAGGCCAGCAGCTGGGAGCAGGGCTGGCTGTTGGCCTTGTGCAAAGAGGGAAGGGAGGGGAAGGTTGGTGTGGGCCTCCCCAAGCAGCCGGGGGGACTGGGACCCCCCTGCTGGCTCTCGCAGGACACCCAGTGCAGGGGGGATCTGCGGCACCGTCACCCTGAACGCTATCGGTGCCACCAAGCCCAGGCCATCGCAGGCGAAAGGGACTGAGTGCAGGGGTGGGAGAGAAGAGGCTGAAGCAGTGACTAGAGAAAATAAAGACTTTATTACTGTTTTCCAGTTCACAGGACAGGTCCCGTTACGCAGCCCACGAACAGGCAAAGCCTCCGCAGCACCTGGGCTCACCCCGCGCCTGCTGCCGCCTGCTGGGCGCTGTGGGCTCCGGGGGTCCTGCAGGCAGCACACAGCGGTGGGTCGGGGGTTGTTTAAAGCCTCCACAGCTGCGGTGAAGCTGCACCCAGGCAGGCTCAGGGTCGTGCCCCAGGCAGTGGCACATGCGGGTTTGTCACTGGGTTTGTCACCAGCGCAGCTACAGCCAGGCTGGGGGGTAACGGGAGAGCACAGAGACAGAAACAAATCAATGCTTGGACAGAGATGCTACTGCTGCACGAGACAGGAAAAGTCTTAAATTCAGCCAGCAGAAGAAAAAATAAAATAGCCAGGTCAACCTTTATTAGACATGAACACAGAAATGTACCAACAGCCTTCTATTATAAAAGTACTTTACATACATTCAAGGAGACATTGTATAAATATCAGTATGAAATGTCACTGGCTGCAAGAGTTCCACATTCAGCTAAAATTTTGCCAACATCTTAAAATTTCCTTAAAACATTTCCAAGTAAACAAACACAGAGCAAAGCCAGCGAGCTGCTGGGTCTGGCAAAACCCATCCCAGGCGGCTCCTGGAGCTGCTTTGGGCATCGGTGAAGCAAAGGGGCTGCTGGGCCACGCCAGGCGGTGGGGGGTTAAGGCACAGGTTTTAATCCCAAAGTTCAGCCGCTGGAGAACCAGACGTGCTCCAAACAGACTGGGTCACAGGCTGGGACATCTCCAAGACCCGCTGACAGGAGACCTTTGGATGGGCCAGGGACTCGCAGAGGCTGAGGACGCAGCACAGACTCTGCCGTGACTGCAAGTCCTGATCTGGGAGCACTTCGGGTCCTGGGAGCACTGGGGCTGCTTCTCAGCACTGCTCACGTCTACCAGATCCGCTCCGGCTGAGGCAGTAACGACCCTTCACGGGGACCCTGCGTGGCCTCTTCACGGACCCAGGAGTAACAGAGCTGTCGCCCTGCAGCATCTCCCCCTGCTCTGCACAGGGCCCACTCTACTGTGAAACCCCAGCACACCCCCAGCTGCAGGGGGACACCCAAAAACACAGCCAAGCTCTCCACCCTGCACATGGAGATGGGAGAACGTCCCTGTCAGCTCCTGCTCCTGCACCAACCCTGCTGCTGAGCACCGCAGCATGGCCGCGGCTTGCTGCAGGGGCTCTGCCAAAACAGCGCCTCGCCCCGGCTGCTCAGGAACAGCCACAGCAGAAAGGGGCTCCTCAGCCTTTTCTGAGGGGATGGGAGGTCTCGGTGCTCGCAAGCAGCAGCTTCTACACAGATGGGATGCTCCAGCGGCAGAGTTCTCGGGGAAATACACAGCCCTGAGCACCTGCCCGAGGTCAGAGCACGCGGCTGGCCAACACCAGCAGACTGCTCCCACCTCCTGTGACCACCTGGGAGAAACTCACCTGGGTTTTCTTTGGTTTTAATTTAAACCAAAACTGGAGCCAGAACACAAGAAACAGAGACCTCTGCGTCCAGTGCCTTTGCTCTGGGAACCCAAACTCCTTGCTCTGGGCACCTCCTCAGCAGTGGGGACTGGAGCTGGCAGAGGACGCAGCAGAGCTCCCCAGCACTGCGGGCAATGATTCCTCCCGAATTAATTCCTTGATGCCAAGAAAGGAGCGCAGCAAGCACCGCCTGCTCGGCATCCTCCCTGCAGCTTCCCAAGCGGTGCCTGGGGGTCCCACACGCGCTGGGCTTTGTACCAGCAATGCGGGTCTGGGTGCAGCACAGGGCCCGGCTTAGGAGCAGCTGGGGTGTGCGCTGGGTGCTGCAAACACCCAAACCCAACCTGTGCCCACGCCAGCCCCTCCTGGCCAGTGGCACCGGCAGAAAAAAAGCCTCTTTTTCTGAGACAGTAGCACAAGAATCAGCGTAACCATTGCCCCCAGGGCCAGCATGCTCCAGGCTGCACCTCACAGTGTCTTAGGAAATTCAGTTCCTCCTAACAAGGGTTTTGTTTCTAACTATGCAGTCAGGGAAACGCAAAGAAGAATACAAGAAAACTGAATCTGATTCTACTAAAAGGAACTTACTCTCACAAACAGAGTCAGGAAAGCAGAGGTGAACGTTGATAACTGTACCCTTCTTTGTAAAATTCAGGAGGATTTGGTTCTCTCCAATTATTCCTGGTCCAGATGAGGACTCTGTTCACGTCTGAGCAGTCTGCAATGGTGTTGTGCTGTATCTCATGGTCACTTTGTTTTCCTTTTCAGGGACAATCTGTCGTCTGTGTCGTGGATACCTGGGATCCAACGATCTCCTGCTTGCTACCAGGGCTTGTGCACGCACTGACCGGACACCAGGGGACCAGCTCAGAACAGCAACGATTTCCTCTACAAGGAACCACGCATCTCAGAAACGTTCCCTTCTCTCTCTATTTTCCAGTAATCCCACGTTGAGGAAATAACATAAGGACATCGTAATAAATTAACTGCTTCAAACACCCGGGGAAGGAGAGAGGAAAGGTTCACAGCAATAGAGGTATTTTTGACATTTTCATTAACATTTCCTACGGAAAAAATCAACATAGCTCTTTTCGGCTTTGCAAAACAAGAGAGGTTTGGCTCTGACATCAGTATTTTTCTATAAAAATAAGGTTCTGTGTTTACTCGGGTTCTACAACTAAGCTGAATAGAAAGGAGAAGGCTCTTACGAATACTTCTGCTGTTGTATCACCCCGTCCCTCTGGAGACCGGCTGCCAGGAGTTCAGCTGCCTTCTTCTTCGGTCTCTTCTCCAGACAAGCTCCAGCTCTGTGAGCCTCCACACGACGCCTTTGTACTCGGCCCGTGCTCCTGAGGAAATAACCTGGTGTCGTGCTTTCCCGTACAGTTTGCATTAGGCGTGTTTTCTTCAAGCTGAAAAGTCCCCAGATGTGTGAGATTTCTGCCTCCCCAGCGCTGCAGAGGGTGTGCAGGAGCTGCAGTCGTGCCTCTGCTCCAGCCTCTTACAGGAAGTCCAACTCGAGGGCTTGGTGCAGGGACACGAGGTCTGCGTGGTTCGTGATCCTCCAGAAAGGCATGTTGTGCTGCAACACAGAGACGACAGAGTCAGGCGAATCGCTGCGATTTCACAGCTCGGCGGAGGCAGTCACGGCACGCCCTGTGCAGCACAGCGCTGTGACAGCACTGAGCACACCGCGGTCAGGAAGGACCTCAGCTGCACGCGCACTGGTGTCTGCAGCTCATCCCATTGGCTGCGATGTGCACCGGCACTGACCTGCGCTGTTCTGCACGCTCACAAAACGTCAGCGTGGGGCCGTGAGCTGCTGCCCCTGCCAGGAGCCCTCCCGGGGCACCAGCGCGGGTGACAGCCCTGGCATGTGGCAGACGGCGCGACACACGCAGAGACGCTGTCCTGACAGTCACCACTGTCCTGACCGTCATCACACACTTCTCTGCCTTTCACTGGCATGACAGTGACCTATTCTGGCCTGTCCACATCAAACTGTTTGCTCCTAGCTGTAACTCAGACTAATGGGAGCTGCTGTGTACAGATCCAACTGCTGGCAACCGAGTCCTGACTCCCTCCACACCCGAGAACCTGCGTGATCCCAACTGCCAGCAGCATGCCATGATCAGGACATACTGCACCAAGATACAGGTTTACAGGGACAATGCTACGCAGAATCCTAAACAAGAGTAAAACAGAAACTTTAAACCCTGAAGAGCCAGAAAACTCCTTAACGCAGTGAAAGATCTCCTGCATCAAAGGCAAAGTTTTCTCCTGGCTTCCTCTGAAGAGTTCAGACCTGGAGAAATGCCTGTGCCAGAAAATGCCCTTTGCATCCATCCCATCCCACCTCTGCAGCCCCAAACCCACCTGCTTAGCTGCAACCTCCTCGTCACGCCCATCTCCGATGACCACGTAGGTGACTTTCTTTCCAAATCGCGACACAATCCTCTCAAAACAGCTCTCTTTACCTGCCCAAAGACACCCCAGTGAGGCAGAGAGCAACGGACGCCCAAACAGGTCCCCTCTTCCCAGTACAGGAGCACACTCTGGCCTTACTGGTAAGGGAATAACACCCGGTTCAGCTCTTGAGGCCAGCAGCCACCAGTGCACGGCCAGCTGGACCACAGCAGCCATGGGGTCTCAGCTGCAGAAACTGTATTTCCTGTGTAAAAATCCCAGCTATCCCGCAGCAGATGCCCCAGGTACCCAGCACAGCCCCTCACCTATTTTCGTGGCACTGTAAATATTTTCGATGGGAAACACCTCGCCCAATCCATACAGGAGAACTTTGGCAAGCGCTGGCACCAGTTGGGTGGTGGTGATCAGGATGTTCACACAGTTTTTTCTAAAAGAAGAAAAACATCTGTCACAGCACATCTATGGCCAGTGGTGCCGAGGGCTGCTCGGGGCAGCTGCTCAGCTTTCCAAAGCGCCCTGCTTCCAAGAGGCTTTTTAGGTCAAGAGTTTGACTTATGCTTTTTGTTTGTTTGAGGTTTTTTGTATTTAACAGAAATCCTCAGGCAGAAATGCAATTCTGCAAGCACAGTCCTATTATAACAACAGATGTTGCAGCAGAAAAATCCCGAAAGGTGCTCAGGAGTGGAGCTCCTGGGCTCACCCACTCTGCACCCCAGTACCCGTGACAAGCAGCAGCAGCGTCACACATGGACACTGCACGCAAATCTCAGTGAGAGAAAGGGCTGAGAAAGCAAAGTGCACATTTCCAGCGTCCATACCTGGACTGTATGAGGAGCAGGGACTTCAATGCCGTTTCCAGCCAGGAATCTGTTAGCACTTCTATATCAGTCCTTAGTCTCTGCAGAGCTTCCCTCTTCTGCGGGCTAAGGAGACCTGGGAGAAAAAGCAACACGAGTGTTCCCAGCTGAGCTGGCAGAGGCGACCAAGACAGAGCCTTCCCTCCGCTTCACAGCTGTTCTGCAGTGAATAACGCGGTCCTGAAGGCACCCGAAAGCTGCAACCGTCTCGAGGCAACGGGAGAAGCCAGCAACATGGATGAGCATCACCCATCTGTGACCCTGCCTGGTTCCTTCAAACCACTTCTCAGGATATGAGCACCAAAATGCGTTTCTCTCATACGAAGCACTCACAACAAGCAGGCGATGTCCAAGGCCACAGACAGCGGGGGAAGGAACTCCTGCCATGACCCTGTCTGACCTCCTGCTCCCCACAGGCACGAGGACCCTTCCCACTTCAATCTCTTTTAGGTATCTTTTTTATCCGTCATGTTAAATCTCCGTATTTTTTATACCTTTTAGATATAATTTTCTCAAAACATCCAGTTTGGAATGAGAAGCAGCCAGAAACAGAGCCCACACACTCAAACATGCTCACATCAATAAATGTGACAAGAAAGGAGCACCGTGAGTCTGAACCTCTCCTCGCAACCCCAGCCATGATGAACGAGTCCCCTCCTCACCCCAACCCTGGCTGCACCACTCCATGGCCACGGAGGGACCCACTGAGGGCGGTGCTGCCCACTGCTTCACCGTGTGGCTTCGGACATGCCATGAAAAACTCTGCATCCAGCTTTCCCGTGTGCAAAATACGGAATAATGGTCTGATCCCTACCAGAAATAAGGTAACTGCAGCATACTGACATGCAGAATTACACTGACAGAGTTTTAAGGCTGAAAGTTACAGTTTTGAGCTCATGGTTTTTAGAAAATATGTCCAAGAGAAAGGTCTATCAAAGTTCTTTTGCACGGCAAAGGGTACCCAAAGCCACAGCCCACCGTCCCTTGCCCAGGAACGTCAACGCTAAGAGCCAGAACAGGAAACTTATCTACACTTGTTATCTGTGTTTGCATCATTACGACTACTTTGGCATCGGAAGGGAAACAAAACCATAAGGTTTTAAGTGACTCTGTGAACAGACAGTAGAGATGTCATGTCAGACTCTGAGCACAGCAGCCAAAAGGGCAAACGCTGTTTTTCTTGACAATGGCATGATAAAAGTCAGATTTTGTGAAGACACGAGTGAAAACACCACCTACGCAGCATGATATGCAGGTCATTTAGGCCCATTCCAAGCAGAATGATGGGCTAATTTAATACAAAATTAGCAAAGGGACACTGTTTGCACCAACATTTTCTCTTAGAGGATCACTCCCATCCAGATCCAACTCACAGACTGCACTGGCAGGCCCTTTGGTTTACCACCAGGTAATGATTACTTTTCAGGTCCAAATGTTTAGGAAACCAAAAGCTCTGAGGAAGGCCGCAGTCCAGCACCACAAACCCTTCCAGTGCTCAGACACGGGCACAGATGAGCACTCACCTCCCACGTTGGTTTTGTATTTGTCGTAGATCTCTCGCACCCTGCGGTAGCGGAAGGCCAGCTTCCTCATCCAGTCCACTCCGCCCTGGACACCAACCGAGGAGCTGTGATTCGTGTTACTTCCCGAGCCGCTGAAGCCATCCGTGGAGAAGTTGTAGTTGCTGTTTCAGAAAAGCAGACCTGTTACGTGTGCCACAGCAGCAGAACCACTGCAGCTTTTCACAGAACCACAGAGTATCAGGAGTTGGAAGGGACCTCAAAAGCTCATCCAGTCCAACCCCTGCCAGAGCAGGATCACCAGACCAGGTCACACAGGAACATGTCCAGGCGGGTTTTGAATGTCTGCAGAGAAGGAGACTCCACAACCTCTCTGGGCAGCCTGGTCCAGTGCTCCATCACCCTCACAGTAAAAAAGCTTTTCCTCATGTTCACATGAACCTCCTGTGCTCCAGCTTGCACCCACTGCCCCTTGTCCTGTCATTGGACATCAGGGGGTTGCAGGCTTCAGCTCTGACAGCAGTGAGAAAAGTGCCACGGAGAGGAGCTCTGTACAACCACCACTGCCCCCTGACAGCACAGAGCACTTCTACCAGTGCACTCTGACGCCCACCCAAATCTGCTGCTGTTCTGTGTACTGGTATGGACCGATCCAACCCTCCACAACACCTCCCTTTGCTCTGTGACTGCCCACTCCTCTGCCACATGGAGCATCCTTCCCACTAACCCCCTTCTCATCCTGCGGTGACAAACCCCAGCACAGGGTGTCCCAAATGTGCCATTACATCACAGCCGCAGCTCCATGAGCTATTTACCAGCTCATAACTGCAAGAAGCAGGTCCTGCTTTGCCACTTTCCCTGTATTTCTTTCTCCCTGACACACAAGCACTTCTCAGACCTTTCCACACAGCAGCAAACTCACCCTCACCTCCCTGACAGTGCACACAGACACATGCAAACCACAGGGAGACCTTCAAGGGCCCAGACGGTGCCATCTGGAGCATTGGTTCTCCATTCACACCATGTCATTGAGCACACAGGCAACATTCAACAGCAGACAATACAATTCACATTCTAATTCCAAAAGCCTCAATGTTTTGTGGGTTTTCAAAGAAATACCACCCAGCAAACACCACTTGCCAAGTCTCGTCCCCTGCACAATGCTGACCTCTGTCTCTTAACCCCATTTGGGTTTGAAGTCCCCACAAAAAACCCCAGGTTACATCAGCTGCACATTTCATGCACTCACCAGTACCCACCTTAAATCTTGGCCATTGTCATCAGATGCCACGTCTTCTATGTGTACCTGGTCACATTCCTGTTTCAGAAAAAAAGAAAAACAGAGTCACACTGCTGTGCATCCAGAAACATATTTGCAGATTAAAGGACGCTTGATCTGAAACAATCCCCGACAGCAACAAGCCATGCCATGCTGTGTCCACAGACCAACACGCAGCTGCCATTAGCTCCATCTTCAATACTAGGTTTGACTTCTGAGCACCTACAGGTCCTTGCCAAGACTGGGATCTGAAGTACCAGAAAAGCCTGAACAAAGCATGTTTCTATGGCATTTTGAGATGTCTGCAAAAAAGGAACTTTGACACTCACTAAACAGGCTGGCCTCGCTTGTTATTTGAAACCCTTTTTGAAAAAGAAAAACCAAAGAAAACCAAAAATACCCCAAACCCACATTATCTGGTCAAGTATTGATATTCTGTTTCATCAGCACAGCGGTCAACTCTGTCACGAGAGCCACAGCAGAACCCTGGAGTGAAACATCAGCGTGGGGCAGCGTCAGGACTCTGGTGCTGAGCAAAGCTGCTTTAACCCGCAGACAAACTGCAAACACCTTAGGGCAAGACGTGAATTTCCCCTATTTCAAGAATTTCCCACTGCCGATACCAACCAGCACCTACAGCAATAAGTGCTGTTGATCACAGAGTTAATGTAGCAATGACCTTTCCAGCACGAGAGACTCCATTTGGTGGTTTGGTTTCTCCCTGGGGCAGGTAACTGCCATTGCCACCTTTGCAAAGTTCACAGCTGCAGTCACAGCCACAAAGGGAAACTTCATTTAAGTTTCGACTTGCATCAGCAAAAACATCTTGTTTTCCCACAATGTGCATTCATTGTAATTTATTGTTCACTGTTCATATGCAGCTTTCCTAAGCTTTAAACTAGTCCTGTAAATTCTGTCTATCAGGTTCATGAGTCCATATCAGAGAAGATATGTCAGGAAATTTGCTATTTCCAACCATTTCATTCCAGATTCTGGTGGGACTCCCCATCTTCCCATGCAGACGGCATTACTGTGTCCATTACTACCTGACAGTGTAGTACGGCCCAGCACAGGACATGGCCATGATTACAGAAAACGTTTATATTCAACTTCTGTGGAAGCAGTGCAGAACAGCGAGAGGTATTTAATTTGGCAAAGAATACCATGCATCGAGGAGGATGGGAGCTGACCAGAAGTCCTCGAGGCAGGGAGAAGAGAGCAGCAGAGACATCTTGCAGGGAAGAAAACTGAGGGTGCTGTGGGACCCTGCATGTGTGCAGCACAGTCGTGTCCTCCACAGCCAACACAACCCAGAGCCTCAGGGTGAGACACACACATTGTGTTCTCATCGAATCACAGAGTGGTTTGGGTTGAAGGGACTTCAAAGCCCTCAGTCCAACCACCCATGGGCAGGGACCACCCTCACCGGGAGGAATTTCTTCCCAATATCCGGTCTAAATCTCCCCTCTTCCAGTTTAAAACCATCACCCCTTGTTCTATCACTCCCTGCCCTTGTAAAAAGATCCTCCCAATCTTTCCTGTAGCCCCTCCAGGTCCTGGAAGGTGCTCTAAGGTCTCCCTGGAGCCTTCTCTTCTCCAGGCTGAACAACCCCAGCTCTCTCAGCTGTCCCCATAGCAGAGCTGCTCCAGCCCCTGAGCATCTCCATGGCCTCCTCTGGACCCGCTCCAGCAGCTCCATGGCCTTTTTGTGTTGGGGGTCCCAGAGCTGGACACAGCACTGCAGGTGGGGTCTCACTAGAGCAGAGGGGTCATTTAAGTGACTTTTCAGTTCAGGTGACCCTGACATTCTCAAGGTCACCTTTGCCCCCACATCTCTGCTCTCCATTTCCAAACAGGATCAGTGAAAGCAAAGTACCTAACAGTCCACAATGGAAATACAAGCCAAAACAGACATCGCTTTTTATTTATACAGGTTCAAATAGAAACCCGTAAGAGAGCTGATGACACTGGGAGGGTGCAGAATGCCTGTCTCAGGTAAGGGAGCACACCTCTTGGATTGGTTGTGCCTACAACTACTTCAGTTTTGGCACTGTCCTGCCTCAGCATGAAGTGGCTCTGAAGCTCAACAGCCCTCGCAAACAGTGCAGTGTCATTCTAACGAGGTAATATGGAGCTTTGCCTTTCAAAACCATCTGCCACGTACCTCCAAGTCATTGAAAAACAGGTGAGTATCAGCTACTTCAAAAATCATCTCCTCCATTGACAGACCCGAGCCAATCACCAGAGTTGGATCCTTGCAAAGCAAAAAGAGAAAATGTAAGTGCACGGTGGTTACGGACAGAAGTAAATTGTGATAAAGCTTTCATCAGTTACATTGCACAGAATTTCCACTTTATATCAAGCCTGATGTAATTCCAGCTGCATTCAGTGGTGTGAACTACAATTTCCCTAGTATTTTAAACAATATCCACATTCTGGTAGTACAGTGACCCCAAATTTAACAGAACGCTTCAGTATTGCATAGCATGGACTGATGGATTTTCAGATGCAACAAAAACAAAACATTCAAAAATCTTCAATATATTATGAAGGAGAAAAAGCATTTCCTTTCACTATGTGCCATGACCTAAACAATTCCCAATGATAATAAAAACAATTTGACATTTTAAGACTTACACTGTCAGAAGTGAAGTGTTTGTGATGCCCATATCCTAGCTCTGTATAAAGCCAAATTTAGTGTTCTTTCCCCACCCCTAACTGCCAACGAAACTATCACCCTATACATCTACAACAAAATGCCATTTTCTATTCCTATTCCAAAGATTATTATCTACTTCTGCATGACAGTTATGATTTTTCTTCCACAGAAAAGACAGTATTACCTTGCCATATTTTTGAGCATAAGACCCTGTGAGAAGTGAATGGAAGATGATGATGGTCTCATCCAAGTCCCAGAGAAACACTCGCTGCGTACAGAATAAAAGCAGGTTAGAGTCGAGGTGTTTCCAGCACTGAGCTACAATAAAGGAGCAAGTTTTAGGGTTAATTTTGTGGCAAGTCGGAGCACACTTAACAGACACGAACAACCGTGTTCTTCTTACAGGCTGACCACATTATTAAACTCTTTCAGTTCAGTGTGGTGGAGTTTATGTACTGATACAGTGCAACCATATGCTCAGAGTAAGGCTCTCCTGGTCAAACTATTTCAAAAGCTTCTCTTGCTTTTATAGTTAGAAAAGCAAAACCTTAGATTGCTAATGAACTTCAGAGCCCTGCTAGGGTAGAAGTTTCCTGTCTGGTCTGCAGAGCATGAGGTAAATGACTTTGGTGTTCATCAGAGACCCCTCTGCTATGATAAATGGGATGGCACCTCAGATTGCATCCCCAACCCCAGAGGGATGTGAGGAAAGCAGAGCTGTGGCCGTTTACCTTGGCAAAGGAGAGACCAAGGGTGATCTATCAGCAGAGCACAACGAATTGAAAGGGAACCACAAAGTGATGGAGATAAATACTTCTCAGCAGTGGCAGATGGAAAACTGCCATGGAAAAAGAAGGGGAAATTTGCAGCTTGGCAGATTCCAATTGGAGACAGAAAAACTCTTTTCCCAAGGGGATGTGGTAGTCCTGGGACGGATCACAAGACAGGTACAGGATCTACAACCCTGGAGGTTCTCAGCCAGACAAAGCCATGGTGGTGGGGACAGCCCTGCCCTAAGCAGGTTACTGTACCAGAGACATCACGACATCTCCTCCACTGACACCGCTGTGACTCCAAGATGTGCGTTAGTGATACTTGTCAGGGACCACTGAAGAACTCACTTGGGCCAGTTCTCAGATAACACAGGTCATGAGAACCTCCCAAATTATCACTCAGTACAGGAAAGCCATGGAGCTGTTGGAGCGTGTGCAGAGAAGGCCACAAAAATGATCAGGGGCTGGAGCAGCTCTGCTATGGGGACAGCTGAGAGAGTTGGGGTTGTTCAGCCTGGAGAAAAGAAGGCTCCAGGGAGACCTTAGAGCACCTTCCAGTACTTAAAGGAGGCTTATAAGAAAGATACAGACAGACTTTTTAGTAGGGCCAGTTGTGATAGGACAAAGGGTAATGGTTTTAAACTAAAAGAGGCTCGATTTGGACTAACTGCAAGCAAGAAATTGTTCACAATGAGGGCAGTGAAACACTGGCACAGGTTGCCCAGAGAGGTGGTGCAGGCCCCATCCCTGGAGATATTCAGGGCCAGGCTTGATGGGCTGTGAGCAACCTGATCTGGTACCAATGTCCCTGCTGACTGCAGGGTTGGACTGGATGAGCTGTAAAGGTCCCTTCCAACCTAAACTATTCTGTGATTCTAATGATCCCCCCCCTTTTCATTTCTGTGGAGATAGGACAAAAGAAAGAGAGGAAGACTTTCACCACCGCTCTACTCTGCAATGTTCCCTGTAGAAAACAACATGACTACTTACCTCCAGTTCGCTGTCCTGTGAGGAGGAGGTATCTGCTTTCCTCTTCCCCCTGTTCTTCCCAGGGATGTTTTTTCTTGCCTGCTCATCCAAGTCTTTACTTGCTGTTGCTCTTGATAACGAAGGACTTGTGGATGCATCTCCTAGAAGCAAGAAATCACACAGCTCTCACCCCATCATGGCTCAAAACAAACACCAATGCAAAGCTCATAGCATTTGGCCACAAACCTCCTTTGCAAAAGGTAAGATGTTTTCTTGGATTGTTGACGCAGTACTAATTGAACCGTTACTAGAAGATAAAACAAGATTTCCTCGTCACATCATTTCAAAATAGCTCTGTCTTCTCAATTCAGCCCACCAGGGCTGAGCTGTTGCAGCTACAAAGCCAAAGACAAGCACCCTCCATCCTGAGGCCTGCAACCTTCAGATGTCTCCCTGCCCTGGGACTGCTTTATTACTTAATTTTTTATTTTAACACTTCTTGAGAGAGCACCAGAAACCCTCAGTCTGAGATAAGTGTACAAAGAAAAGGATTTAACACTGCCTCTTCCTCCTAGGTTTCCTGGACCAGCCAAATGCCTTGTGTCAAGCAATGCCACACGGCACACACTGCTTCCACCTGTGCACACACCTCTCGCTCCCGTGCAGGAGCCTTGGACTACGTGACACAACCGCCAGCGCACAGCGCTGTCCAGAGCGTGTCAGTCACACCCAAACCCACAGCGTGCTGCTGAAACAGGCAGACTGGGACAACAGCTCTACTGACCAAGCATTAGTGGAGAATAACAGGGGTGATCTCGGCCCTGCAGGCACAGACTTGGCCAAGCACCATGGCCATGACTGACAGCAATATGTTATGGAGCCTATTCTGCTCCTGTTCCAGAGAAAGAATAAAGCATCACCAGAAAAAAAAACCTCAAACAAACAACAATGCAAATCAATATGATATATTATCTATTATATTATGACCATGAGGAAATACTCTCTGGATCCTTCATTAACAGTTCAGGCAGAAGAGCTGACATCTCAGATATCTGTCTAACTAGTTCAGAAATACGACCAGAACTGCAGTGGGAAGGCAGAGGGCCCAGGGCACCTGAAAGAGCTTGAATTCAGTCTGAGTCTTGCAGAGGAAACATTGCAATTCTTATGAAAAATTCATGCAAAATGGTGAAACTTGGTGAATTCCTGAGCTAAGAAACTGGCACTGAAAACATTAACAGCTGGGCCATTCCCTAGTCAGTGCCTTGAAATAACAGGTCAATTCCTTAGGTTTTCAACATCAAATAAGAACAGAGACTCATGGGTAACTCTGCTGTTGCTCACCTGAACTAGTGGGCAACTGCTTCCCAAAAGAGGGAAAGTGCTCGAAGCACCATGCTGCTCGATTTACAGCATCACAGCACGATGATGTATGCAGCTGCCCATGAGGGAAAGGTGATAGAGGTCTGGATCTTCAGTGAGTTCAAGACTATCGAGGTGCTTTGCTCACCGGCAGGCACCCACGCCTGCTTCCAGGCTCTGGAGTGCGTTTGAGGACTTGGCAGAGCTCAGGCACTGCTGATGGGCTTGGGGAAGATGGAGAAGGCAAAGTGCTGCAAAGGCAATCGCTCACCACATCCCAAACACAGCTGATGCCCAGCCGGTCTCCAACCAAGAGTCACCTTAGACTCTAACCCTCACCCCCTCTTCTTTCTCTACCTTAGTTTTTATTGCTGAACATGACACTATATGGGATGATATCACTGCAGTTGGCATAGGTCAGCTGTCCCAGCTGTGTCACCTTCAGGGTTCTGTCCACCCCAAACCTGCTCGCTGGCGGTGTGGAGGGGTGAACAAGCATTGCTCAGCAGCAGCCAAAACAGTGGTGTGTTACCAACACTGCTGCAGCCCCAAATCCAAAACACAGCCCCCACAGAGCTGCTATGAAGAAAGTTGACTCCATGCTGGCCAGACCCAGGGCACCAACAAAATCGAACAGAATCTATTTGGGTTTCTTCCCAGCCTACTGATCTGCAACAGGCAATAGATTTCAGTTTAAAACCATCTGACAACACAGGAAGAATTTCCTAACTCCTTGTGCAAGACCAAGACACTGGAAGAAGCGCAAAGTCTGCGCTCTCATCCTTGTTAAGTGTAGAAAAATACTTTTGGTGAGGAAATTTTGGTCAACCCCACTGCAGCTGGTTACATGACACAGCACTAGTGGAAAAGGCCAGCGAAAGATGTGACTTCTCTAGAACAGTCAACTAAACCTTTCCAATCGACTTTCTACATCTCTTACCAGATAAAACCTTTCTCCCCCTGCCAAGCGCCAGGGACCTCAGTGCCATGTGGCTGCAGACCTGCTCGAGGACAAGCACAGCAGAGCAGCTGTCCCTTCAAAAGCAGTTCACATGGTGATGCAGAAGCAAGGACAGGATGCATTCCTGGGCACATCAGAGAGGCCATGGCCAACTACAGCTCTTGGAAACATGTGAGCCTTCCCAGAGGACTCCCATGCCAGGGACTGGCAGCTGTGTCGTGGCTGTCAGCTCTAACCTGAGTATCTGGCTGCTACCGTAACCCTGGGTATCACCACTGCCCTGTCACAACCACAACCAGTCCCGACACCACAGAACCACCAGGAGCTGCTGTCGGCAGCTCTTCAGGTCGCCCCTGGGATTCCCTCACCCTGGGGCATTCAGAGGATCTGCTCAGTGTCTCCTGAACCGCAGCAGTATAGGAGTCCCAATACGTAAGCCATTGGGTGGCCCACCATAACACTGCACACACCAGTAAGACCAGTCTGACAACAGAAGGCAAATGTCCTGGCCTGGCCAGCATGCTGAGGTACTGCCATTACCTTCTGGAAAAAACTTCTCCCCCTGCCCGCACACTGTTTATCAGGGGTGATTTGCAGCCACCCTGTTAAAGACCCAACCATTACCGGAGGAAGGTCTCTGCACTGTCCGCGTAGGCCCCATGGCGTTGGGTTTCTCGGCTGGGTACGTGGCTGTGGCTAACGCGGTGCTCTCCGTGTTGTTGTCGGCTGGTGTCACGACTCCAAAGCCAGAACTCGGGTAACACGTCTGGTACTGGCTCTGGCCAAGGATGGTGTACGTAGGATATTCCTGTCGGAGGAAAGGATCAGTCATGATAGGACACTTGTTTCAGAAATGCTCTGTATTAAGATGACTATATGCTTATAATATGCCTGTCAAAGAGAAATCCCAGCAAGAGCACAGTCTGACTTTATGCTATTTCTTTCTGTGTATGTAAGAGATCCCCAAAAAGGGCTAAGGCACCTGACTTCACAACAGCCCCGCACAGGCAGGGTCCCCAGCCAGGAGCCCAGCAGTCACAGGGCCACTCCTCTGCCTCCAGTTTATCCAAAAATGAATCCACTGTGGAATACGTGACAGTAACAGGGAGGATGGAGCAGATGCCATCAGTCCACTCTGGTAGATTTGTCTTACACTGTTCATTTCCAATACCAGGTGTACTGACAGCGACAGAAAGTGGTCCTGGCACTGGCTGAGGGTGCCAAGAGCTACCAGATAAACTGCCTTTACTCCTGTCCTGCTTCAGCAAGGTGATGAAAGGCATCTATTTATGTACACTATTTACTCATTTAGGATGAGATCACCAAGCAGCTGAAGCTGTACTTGAGGGTTTTAATTTCTGCTACTGGTAGGAAAGGAAGCAGCCACCCTAAATGTCACTTTACATTCTGGCACGCTGTGCACTCCCGACCCCCTCGAAGAGCACCTGGGTTTGTGAACCAGGTACCTTGGTGCACAATACTGAAAGAAAATCTTCATTTCCCCTTAGACCTCCAAGCAAGTTTATGTCAATGAAAGAACCTTAAAAAACAACAGCATAAACATACAAGGATTTTTGTGCATCTATTTCATTTTCCACACTTCCTATATTCTCTTTCTGCAAAGCTCTGGCACTGAAGGGTTCCTTGGTACATCTAAATATTCAGAAAGGCAGTTAACTGCTGACAGGCTCTGTATTACTCACAGGGGAAAGGACCCTGTGCCAGCTGCAGGTCTTTTTGACTTTGGCTTATTCCAGCATCATCCGAATGCATCTTCTCTTTACTGGTTTGCTTGTCTGTTTGGGTACAACCTATTTTCCTTTCCCTGCTGAGGGAGAACAAAGGCATCCAAAAACCATCCACCTACAATCTCCCTGTGGGTCTGATTTCCAAAACGGTTTTGCTGTTTCTCCTCCTCCGTCTCTGCTTCAGAGATCGGGGTACCCTGTTTGATAGTCACCACCCAACCAAACAGCTTTAACAGCTGAAGCGAGCTCGCTGCAAAGGCCAAAGGGTCAAAGAGACAGCAAGAGAAATTTGGCTGACGCTGAGTTACACCCTGAGCCCTATCACTCCAGGACCCATTGTGCTCCATTTGAAGTGATGCAAATATTTGCTCTTCCTTTGTTAGTTACCTTGCAAACCAAAGGTGAAGGAGATGCTGTGCATTAATATAACAAGGAAGAAGTTTTACCTGTGAGATGCTGGCTACTGCTGATGTGGAAATATTGACCACAGTTGAGGATGTAGAGGCTGGACTGGCATTGGTAGTCGATGCTGTAAAATTAAGAATTACTGCATTAAATGCTTTGAGCAAAGCACAAGAGACAAGAACAATCCAAGCTGTGAAATAAGCACTTACTGTGCTTATGTGCAAGCATTTGGCTGCTCGTCACAGCCAAAAAAGAGCTAGGATGCATTTTGAAACCAGTTCCATTTCAAGTGGTCTTACAGGGCAGGAGAGCTAGCGTATCTCTACAAACAGTACCTCCAAATGTTTCAGAAACCTTTTCCCTCTGTGCCTGCTAAGCAACTGGAGTTTAATTAAAATGGTTTTGCATCTTTACTAAAAGTTTTGAGAAGACAACAATCACATTGTGTTGTTCCATTATTAGCATAAATCAGTAAAATGGGTATGAATGTGTTTAAATCAGTTGTGATTTAAAAAAATCTCTGCATTGGACTTACCATATTTAGTCTAATTAGATCAAAAAATTTAAGGAAATAGTAAAAATATTTCAAGTAGTATAAAAAGGGTGTTTCCTACTGGAGGAAGTGAACGTATCTCCTCATATCTCTGTGAGACTACAACTGGTTTTTGGATGAGACTTCCTGACATAATTTGTCAACAGCTTGTAGGACAAATTATTTGAGCCATGTAGTTGGTACGAATTTTAGGACGTTTAACAGCCTTCATGTTGCTGCATTGGGTTCTTCCAAAACAGAGCAGAGGCTGCTCCAGCCCCTCCTGGGAACATCACTGGTTCAACAGATGTTGGGGTTTCACAGCCCCAGGGCCGCTCCATTCAGCATTTCTCCACATGGGATTTTGGGACCATCAAAGATTAATGCAAATAAATAATGAAATCAGCATGAACAAAATCAGGAAGTACTAAACCAGGTGCCACCAAGAGATCTTCTTCTGCTAAACCTCCTTTCTCTGCACACTAATAAAACAACAAATTGCTTTCAGATGCTTATGGAAAGGTTTACAGAAATGCACGGCATCACCTACTTTGCCATCGCTCTGGGAAAAGCCCTCACTTCCTGCAAATAACTCGCACGCAGGATTCACCCCGAGACTGAAGGACTCAAACTTCTGGAGGCTTCAGTCTCTACCCCAGGGAAACCCCACCACGAACTCTTCATCGGTGTATGCTGTGTTATTGGCACGCACAGATACCACCTGGTAAACAGCTCCTGGAAAGAGGAATGGATCCAAAATATGCCTCAAAAAGATGAAAAACAAAATAAATGTATCTTTAAAGAGGTGCAGAAATACACAGTATTTACAAGAGGTGAGGAATGGGAAGGGTGGCATCCTTGAGGAAGCAGAAACGAAGGTGAGCAATCAGCCCCTGGGATGTCCCCTACAGCCAGGAGCAGCAGTGCCCAAAACCAGATGGGAGAACTGTGTGGGGACAATGTTTAGAAAAGAAAACCAGGCTGCACTGAGCAGCAGTAGTGGGAACAGAGACACGCAAGGACCTACAGCAGCTCTCCAGCTACCAGAAGCACAGTGTGGGAGTAAGGTACTCATCAGATACTCCTCATGAGAAACCACTGGAGAACAGAGGCAGTTTCCAAACAAAACTTCCCACTATACACGTTACGGAAACGATCAAGGCTGGTCTTATCTGAAGAAGAGGTCACTTCCCAGGCACTGCGAAGAGCAGCTCCAGAACAGGTCCTCACCAGCACAGAACAGACCTGACAAGAAGGGGAGGAGATGAACTACCCAAGGACAGATCACTGCACTGCCTCACCAAGGTTATCACGAGAGCAAACAGAACGTGACTCTCATCTGCAGTGCTCTGGAGAGGCTGCTTCTCCACTGTGACAGGTAACACAAGTGAAGAAATCACAGAAGAAAAGATTCCAAGTGCTGGGATTGTGGTAAAACCCCAAATCCCCTCACATCAACTTCACTGCTTATCTTAGCTCTGGTCCTTCTGACATGTCCTTTTTAACGACCCTTCATACAGTGTTACACATCAGATCTTCACAAACAGCTCTCACTACTCAGATGAACCGAATCTTTCTGCTCTGTGGGTCAGTTCCTTCTACCTGTGAATGGACCAAAAACATTGACTGCTTTCCTGGTCTCAGATTTAAGAGACCAGCAAACACAAGTATTGCCTTGAGCTGCCGTGACTCTGGTGCTCTCTTTCTTCCCTATTTCCAGACCTCATTCTCAGACCTACACCCCTATCTCCCTTGCTTTATTCACCCTGTTTGGTTCTACTTCAGTTGTTTTTCAAGATGTTTCAGTCTGCTTCATGTGCTGGGAAGAAAAATTGCAATTAATGTCTCACTTGGCCAATTTGCTCTCACAGGGCAGGAGGAGGTGAGGTGAGAGCCAACCCTTCCTCTCCCAGCACTTCCAAGCACCTCTGCGCCATCCCACCATGGCCATAGCTGGGGTGAGGACAACACCCAAAATTCTTGGTCCCTGAGTGCACCTGGCCATTTACCAGGGTTCAAATATCACATCCTTTCGCTCCCGCACTGCAGACCAAACCACGGCCCTGCACTGGAATCCCCTCGGGTGACCGTGGCGTCGCACAGCTGAACATTGCCCTGGTGGTGCCATTGGAGAGAAGATTTTCAAGACACAAAGCAACTCTGTCCATCCCTCCAGCTCCTGCTCCATCACCATCCTTGCATCAGCCCAAGGGCTGATCTGACCCCTCAGCAGCCTGCTTGCTAATCTGGCAAAAAGGAAATGCAGCAAATCCCAAAAAAGGAAGAGTTTCCTGCCAGTTTACTACAAGCTTTTCAGAAAATTCAGGTGACTTTTGCACACTTCCAAAGAGCAGCCTGAAGGGGAACTTTCCTCAAATCACACATTCTCACAGCAGCGTGGATCAAATGTTTTAAACCCTTATGCAGAGCAAGGCCTCCCTCACCTCATGGATCAGCAGGGATTCCCATGCTCACCACGGCACATCACTGGCAACCCCTCAGCAGTCGTGTTATGCAGAACCATTGCTGCCCCTTTGCAATTAAAGCTGGAGCTATAAAACACTGTAATTCATTCTGCGGTGGGAGAACCTGGAGGAGAGTTATGTTTGAAGGAAGGAAGGATTTCCAGCGTTGTATTGCTCACGTTATTCCTCATGTGAATAGTAAATTAAGGATAAACGTTACACTGGGCCATTTACTGTTACAATGACACAAGCTGAACAAGTACCATGACGTGGCCTTCCTATCAGTGAAAGATAAGCTAAAACCCACTTATTGCTGATTCTGAGTTATTCCCCTTTACCTGGCACACATTAGACTACATCTACATACGGCATTCAGTTTGGGGCTTCAAGCACAAGAAATGCATTGACAAAATTCAGTGGCAAATTCCGGCAAAAAGCCTCCAAAACAGCCGGGGAGCCAAAGCACGTCCCCTACAAGGGGTGGCCTGGAGGAGAGACAGATGGACTGAGGGCACCTGAGAGCAGCCTCGGTACCTGCACGGGGTCACCAAGATGACAGAGCCCCAGAGAGGGGCACAGCAGCAGGAGAAGAGAAACGGCTCCAGCCTGAGAGAGGGGATGCTCTGAGGGGACAGAAGCAGACGTTTCCCCATGATGACAGTCAGGCACTGGAACTGGTGAAATCTCCGTCCTCAGAGGTTTCTGAGACCCAACGGGATCAAGCCCTGAGCACCCTGGTTCTGAATTCAGGGTCACCTCTTCTTTGAGCTGAACTAAAGATCTGAAGCCTCTGAATTAAACTATGAAAATATCACACAAGAAATAGGAGTTCCTGAAATGCTTTTTACAAACTACAGAGAAAGAGACAAATTTTCACAACTCATCACCCAAAAAGGCAAAAATCCTGCCTAAAAAAAAGTATCAGTTTGAACACATTTGCCATAAGCACCAATATGCCGTTATTCAGCTACCTGGCACACTTACTCCCAAAAGCTGCTTTGGAAGCTGGTGACACCCAGCACCTGCCTTCTTGGATGTGGCACTTCCAGCAGTTGGGACATGTGTAGAGTAGCTCTCTACTGAGAAATTCACTTTCTAGCAGATCCACCAAGGAGGGTGTGTGTGTGTGTAATATATGAGAGCCATAAAAACCAAATAAACCCAATGACAGCATACTTCCTGACATCAAGCTAAAGAGACACCAACAAGGAGCTTGAGCTGCAAGAGCATTCCCAGTGAAGGCATGCAAGAACACAACAGTTACTCTCATTTGCTTGTCACCCTGTTCAGTCCATCAGCGTGGCACCGCCAAGCCAGCCTGGTGCGTACAGAGGTATGCAGCAAACACAAAATCACACACATTCACAGGCACGAAGAGAAAAGAGACAAAGCAGAAAGGAGCATGCACAACCCAAGAACAAACATGCAGGCCTCTCTATTTGTGGTGTCTGGACTCAGTCAGGTGGAGAGAGATGCAGATAAAAACCATGCCAAGTTACCTTCAATGGAATAAGAATAATGTGCTGGACTGGGCTGGCTTGTGGTTAACCCTGTCGTGCAGGTAAGAACACTGTGCTGACTTGTAGATGGATTCTGAATTAAACCACTTTCAGGTTTCATACCTGGCCACAGTGCACCTGAATCAGATAAATTGGACCAGTTACAAACAAATATGCTGGGACCAAACAGCATGCTGCTACCTCAGGTTAAGATTTTTGCCTGTCACAAAAGCAAGTAACAAATCACACATGGAAAATGTTTTATTTCTGCAATAGCAAGTGCTGACTGTCAGGCTGTGCATGGATTAGAGCTGCTGACAAAACTGGCTGGAAAAGAGAAAATTAATGGCACCAACAAGACCAATTTCCAAAGCTTTCAACTAAAAATCTGTTAGTGTCACACTGCCACGTTGGTACGAAATCCCTCTGAAATTTGTGCTGAGCTGCACAGCTCCGTGAATGACCTCAACCATTACACAGCAAAGTTGGAGTTGGCATCTACTGAGGTCAAGGTCAACACTTCCGCTACTTCACTGGGCTTTGAGTTGAATATTTTAAACCAAGCTACATGTCAGTCATGTTCATAGACTGACAGCAGCGAATACAGTGCTCAAATATAAGGCAAAAAAAAGCATCTCAAAGTTTCCTCTGCATTTCCTGCCATTCTGGAAAGCATTTGTAATGACACTGTGCAAAGCACAGAGCCAGCAGAGTGGCTGTAATTCAATAATAATTCAAAGTACAAGGCACACTCGGCAGGGTGGGTTCAGCTCAGGTGCCCCGCTGAGGTTTCCTGGTGAAAGCAGCACCGGCTGCAGCAGCTTGGCCAGGCCTGGCTCCTCGGGGCTCCTCAGGTTTGGGTGAACAGCTTCCAGAGCCACAGCCACAGCCAGAGGCGTTCCTCCCTGGCCCTGGTTAGAAAGCAGGAATCGGTTGAGAGGATTGACTGAAAAAACAAGCAGAAGTGTGCAAAGCAGAAGGACAAAGGATGTCTGAAGCTAGATACGAAGTTCAGGGCCAGCAGAAGGACCACTCTCCTTGGTAAACCCCTCCAAAAGTACCAAGCCTGTGAAGTCACCTGCAGCCTTTAACCCGCTCCAGCAGGACATGTGGTCCACGGGCCACAACCTCTAAGTGTCTCATGCAGGAGACACAGGAGACCACGCAGAGCCAGACACAGGCTCCATGCTGCATCTCTTTGGTTTATTTACAAGCTTGATCCCAACCTGTCACCTGGAGTGGAATCAAGCCGTTCACCCATCTGTACAGCCACGCCGGGGGGCTCATTCTTCCACTCTCAACTTTGTTACTGTTTCAAACCCCTACAACGGTGATGACCGGCAATCAAAAGGGGAAGACTGATTTCAGAAAGACCATAGGTACATTGCAGAAACTCCAGAATAAAATGTATGGGAAACAAATCCTCTGAGGAGAGTGGGAGTAGCTCTATTTGTTTAGTCTGGAAAGGGAGTGCCACTATCTTCACACAGGTAATTTTTAGAGAGGACAGTAACCAGTGGTTCCTTATGGTGCAAGGCAGAGGGACTGGGAGCAGACAGCAACATAATGAGAGGGTCACAGGACACAGAAAAAGTGTCTAAAACTGTGACAACGAAACTCAAACCAGCTCTGAAGGGTGATGATGACTTGAGGGCCGTGACCCCAGCTCAGGCACACCTCAGAGGTGTCCACAGAGCTGTCTGGGTACAAGGGCAGGAGCTCAGGTCATGTCTGAAGGCATTTGTCAGCCCCTGCTTTCCATGACTCTCGTTCTCTTGGTACAGATGTGCTCTATGTCCCATCCAGTAAGGCACACACTGGCCTGGTGCACACGTCCTTCCCTGACAGCATTTATAGGTGAATGGCACCCTGGGGATGGCAGGGAGGAAGCTGGGCCAGGGGCAGAGACCCCCTCCAGGTCAAAACGCTCTGCAGCTGAGGCAGAGGATGCCACAGGTCACATGGATCTGTGTGGAAAGGTCCCAACCACGACAGCCCATTGCTTGTAGATTTTTCTTGAGTTAATGTCAACCACCACATCCTCAGTGTTTCCAACACCAGCTTACAGCCACACATACACAGCTTGCATGTCACTACTCTTATTTTAATCACAGAATCACAGACTGTGCTGAGTTGGAAGGGACCTTTACAGCTCATCCAGTCCAACCCTGCAGTCAGCAGGGACATCGGTACCAGATCAGGTTGCTCACAGCCCCATCAAGCCTGACCTTGAATATCTCCAGGGATGGGGCCTGTACCACCTCTCTGGGCAACCTGTGCCAGTGATCAACCACCCTGAGCATCTCCATGGCCTCCTCTGGACCCGCTCCAACAGCTCCATGGCTTCCTGTGTCAGAGACCCCAGCACTGGACACAGCACTGCAGGTGGGGTCTGACCAGAGCAGAGCAGAGGGGCAGAATCCCCTCCCTGGCCCTGCTGGCCACACTGCTGGGGATGCAGCCCAGGATGGGGTTGGTTTCTGGGCTGCAGATGCACATTGGTGGCTCATGTCCAGCTTTTCATCCACCAGTACCCCAATCCTCTTCCTTAGGGCTGCTCTCTATCACATCATCTCTCAGCCTGTATTGGTAACGAGTATTATCCCTACCCATGTGCAGAACCCTGCACTTGGCCTTGTTGAACCTCATGAGGTTCACATGGGCCCACCTCTCCAGTCTGTCCAGGTCCCTCTGGATGGATCCCTTCCCTCTGGCACATCAACCTCACCACCCTGCTTGGTGTCATCAGCGAACTTGCTGAGGGTGCACTCAATCCCACTGTCAATATCATTAATGAAGATATTAAACAGCACTGGTCCCAGTACAGACCCTGGAGGGACACTCGTCACCCACTTCCATCTGGACATCAAGCTGTTGAGCACTACTCTCTGGATGTAACCATCCAGCCAACTCCTTATCCACTGAACAGTCCACCCATCAAATCCATACCAAATGCATCTTTAATCAAATCTCTCCAGAACAGGAGTACATCCCATGCAGAACTGCACTAAACACTGCCACAAAAGTATTACAGCACAGGAGAGGTGACAAACTGCAAGAGCAGAGGTCATCTCCTCCTGAAAGCAGCACCCTGTCCTGAGTGATCTCAAGACTACGCTTGTGTTTGTCAGCATGCTTGAATTTCACACTTAAAATGCATCCGCTTTGCTCTCATCAGCTAACCCACGATGCCTTCTCTTTGGCAGCAGAAAGTCATGGAAACCTCTGGAACAGGCCCACGGATGCTGGGAAACACCTGACCAAGCTGTCCACATCCTTACCTGCCCAGTGGAGATTTTGTAAGCAGACCCAACCCACAGAATTTAATCCTCTACCCCTACCTGTCCCTCACCCCATGCAGGGGCAGCACGATCCAGGAGGTACTGCTCCACTGGGATTTCCATTACTGGAAATAGGACTTTTAACATCTTCCCAGCACGTAAATTCAGACTAAAAATTCAGGTATTTAGTAACAGACCTCAAAATCCATACCAAGACATTTCAGTAACTGATCCCATTTCAGAAGATGTTTAACAGACAAAAGTTCCCATGAAATCAACACAAAATACTGATCTCTTGCCTAGGTCTTCAGAATTTCTGCTGCTCCATTCAGAAGATAACACTGAAGCACCTACGTACCCCCAAATTCCCACATCCCCCCACATAAACAGCCACCCCCACTGCCACATCACACTGACACAAAACACTGACAAAACCCCTACATCCTCCCTTCCTCAAAACATTTTAGAAATAAGTCTGAACCACCTTTTTAAACACCTTGGCCTAGTACTTCAAGGGAGCATTCCATCTATATCCACGTATTGATCTTTTTTTAAAAACTGCAACACACAAAGCAGTCTCCGTGCACTGTTCACAACAAACTATCAACTAACAACAAATAAATGAAGCAGAGGAAACCACCAGCCACTGCTCAGATACAGCAAAACCAGTGCAACCAGGCACCGAAACCAAGGCACGGGCATGTCCCAGCAGCCGTGGTGTGGGATGGGGCACGGTTCCTGGGAAACAGCCAACAGCCAACACCACAACCGGACAAAAGGACAAGGAACAGAGCACCCAGATACCATCTTACGGTATTTAAATTATCAGTCGGAGCAATGTACCTCAGCATTAATATAGGGCAATGAGATTTCTGAGGCACTGTTTGATCAAACCCTTGCGTCCCAGTTACTGCAAAGCCACCATTTTCTTCCTAACAATCCCTCAACCACAAGAAAACTCCATTTCTTGAATCCCAGGTGTGTATATACAAAAAAAGGTACGCAGATTTGTTTTACATAACAATCTCTCTCATAAGGATAACGATTTGTGTCATACTACTTTAAAAGAATTACTAAAGCAACTTATGTCTGATACAACTAAGCCTAGTTCTATCATTTTCTACACCATCTTTCAAAAATACCATGAGAAATCAATTGTTCTGTAATTTATAAAAAGTCCTTGATCTGTCAGCAACCAACAAAAGCCATAAATGTCTCCGGCTTTATTCCAAGACGTCTAGTTCTTCAGCTAAGGAAAAATGCCTCCTTTTACACTTCAAGATATGGAGGAAGCCCAGGGTGAAGAGCTCAGGCCCTGTCACCAAGCTTTAGCTGCTCCGTGACCACAGGATGCTCTGCAAAAACGGGAATGGCAAACAGAGGGCTCAGGTATTAGAGCAACTGCAGCAAACTTACTTCCCTAGTAAACTTTGAGACATTTTAGCATGAAATCTACATTTGGTGAAAGATGAAATAATAAAAAAGTCTTAATCCTGGCCAGCAAAAAGGAAAGGAAAAATACGTGCAGCAGAGACGCTGCAGTATGGGGTCTTGTGTGATTTCCCCGGCAAGGAAACCACACAAACACAGCTATGGCACAGCTGGAGAAAATCCTGACTCCAAACTAAGAATCACCTGGGAGGCTGCATGGGGAGAGCCAAATTAATGGCCAGGAAAACAGCTTTGTAAGAAGTGATATTTTACAATAGCAGCCTCGTCTAGAGATCAGATCCTGATCTACCATTGAAGTCAGGCAGGCGCTTTCCTACAAACTATGCTCCGCAACACACCCGGTTAAGCTTCACGGTGGCTTTTTAATGAGACAAAAGACAGTAATTGCAGGCACTCCTAAGTGTTTGAAAAGTTACTTCTTACCGAAAGGAGGTAGTCCATAGGTCTGGGTGGTCTGGGGGTAGATGGTGTAGGGCTGAGACTGCTGTAGTGCTTGATACTGAGTCTGAGCAGGGTATGGGCTCATTGTTTCCGATACAGGTACAGACAGGATATGTGCATATGGCCTTAGTGAAAAGAAAGAACAAAAGTTTACAAAAACTGTTTGTGTTATGCATCTTTCAATGAAACAAATTGCTTTAGAAAGAAGAAACAACATACACAGACATGTGCTCTTTGTGTGATACCCACGTGTGTTTCCCAGCCCAACAGGCTCTGGTTTCCACATGCTGCCTGTTCCTGCAGTGGTGAAACCCCCTCCTCCTCCACAGCTGAGCCCCAGTGCCCACCCAGGACCATGAGGGGAAGAACAAACTCCCTGTCCAACAGGCACGAGCAATTGGTTTCACTCGCTGTGCCTCACAAAACCTAATCCTGACGCCAATACAGCACAGGAGCACATGTCAGAAGTCCTGGAGCTCACAGAGACCACAAGAAAGCAAGCACAGGGATAAATCCCGCTATGCTGCAATGGGAAGAACTATTAAGATCCCCAAATATGGTTAATGATGAGAAAATACTACATTTCCCTTATATTCATTGATGTCCAGTTTGCTTAATCTTCAAATATTATGGGCATTATTCAAAATATGAATACCACTGTGTTGTTTAATGAACCCCTTCAAGTAATTAACAACAGCCAATGAAGCTGAAGGCTGACTTCTGTCAGCTTCAGTGCCTGCAGCAATGAGTTGCCAGAAGAAAGGAAAGGGTGATTTACAGTGCTGCAGAAATGCCTAAAGATGCAATAAGATCACTTCAGAAAGAAGTAAGAGTTACAGAATTCAGTAACCATTGCTCAACTTACTTTGCAGAATACATTTGTGAGGTATAATCATTTGATGACCTTGGGATATAATCAGTGCATGTCATAACTGGAAAAAAAAGAGTTTGTATCATTACCCAGGCAATCCCAAAACTCAGTAATGACAATTAAATATCAGTATGCACAGTACGTTTTAACCAAGACACAAGACTTACAAAGGATTTCCAGTGCCTTGAGTATCTGTTTCAATGCAAATTCTCAAAAAACACACTGTTAAAATAGCACAAAAACGTTTTTCCTGCCAACTCACAACCGGAGGTGATTCAGTCAATACTATTTCTCCCTTTGTAACTGTGCTCTCTTTACCAGTTGGTACCATCACCTTTTGCAGTTCTCATGATAAAACTTTGATTTCAGCCCAGTCAAAAACCTTACATACACCAAAGGGTCTGAATCTGTGCCAAGCATAACACTGCTTTTCTGTATCCCAGAGCAGAGACCAAAGCAGATGTTTATTTTGTCAAGCCTTCCTCTTCCTCTTCCCTTTCCTACCCAGAGTACTGCTCCAGCAAACTCTTCCCTTTCAAACAGAGCTGCTCCCAGCTCGAAGAGCGCAATCCCACACATCGGATACAACGGGCTCAGTCGCAGTGCAGGAGACTCAGAGTCCAAATCCAGATGACGGCTAAAGAAATCTGGCAGTTACATTTAACAGGATGTTTCCATTTTTCTGCCTGAATAAATCCGCAGCAATGGCCCTGTAAAGCTGGTAAGAAAGAGTCACTCAGGCTGCAAATCCAAGGAGGAAATCTTAAAAATCTTCTCATTTAGCATTGCCTATGGCTCTAGTATACTCCCATACAGTTCGTAACTACAGTATCTGAGTTGGGGTAGAGAAGGGGTCATTAAAAAAAAACAACTGGATTCAAATGAGGTGATCTGATAAATACTCAGCAGCCCATGAGATGTGGGCAGCAAGGATGTGCAAGACCCCTGGCACAGAATCTGGCACTGCACAGCCCCGCTGGCACATGTCACCCCCATAGTGTGGGATGCTGCAGCCATCTTCAAGCCAGACGACTTCTGTGACTGTGAATCTGCACAGGACATGGATTCACCACTTTGGATCTACCAGCACCATCCTCAAACTCTCAGCAGACACAGCGGTACTGCTGTGGATCCAGCTCATTCACAGAATCACAGACTGTGCTGGGTTGGAAGGGACCTTTACAGCTCAGCCAGACCAACCCTGCAGTCAGCAGGGACATCGGTACCAGATCAGGTTGCTCACAGCCCATCAAGCCTGACCTTGAATATCTCCAGGGATGGGGCCTGCACCACCTCTCTGGGCAACCTGTGCCAGTGATCAACCACCCCGAGCATCTCCATGGCCTCCTCTAGACCCGCTCCAACAGCTCCATGGCCTTTTTGTGTTGGGGACTCCAGCGCTGGACACAGCACTGCAGGTGGGGTCTGACCAGAGCAGAGCAGAGGGGCAGAATCCCCTCCCTGGCCCTGCTGGCCACACTGCTGGGGATGCAGCCCAGGATGGGGTTGGTTTCTGGGCTGCAGATGCACATTGGTGGCTCATGTCCAGCTTCTCATCCACCAGTACGCCCAGTCCTTTCCCTCAGGGCTGCTTTCCAGCACGTCATCTCCTTATCCATCTGAAACCAGTTTGGAACAGACCAAGTACCCAGGTCCCAGCCCTGCTCAGGAGAGGATCCAGGCTAACGGTGTCCCTCTTGTATGGGGCCAGGGGCCTGGCTCCTCCATCACCAATGTCACAAGAGACTGCACTCTCCCTCGTCCTTCTGGAGTGACTCAACGAATGGCCTTCAGAAGGAAATACGGTCAGGGACAACAGCAACCTTTGCCTTGGGATTTGCTTCTGACGCTGGTGATGGGCTCCAACAAGTCAGGCTTTCCCTGTCTGGAGCACTCCTACACCACCACTGCTCCTGTATCACTGAGTAACTACTAACCCCCTTACCAGTCACATCCACCGAGGAGAGGAGGTTAGTTTGCACAGGTAACTCTAACTAACACTTGCATTCTGCAACCTAAATAACCTCTTTGTAGAGAGTAATCTGAGTGTGAGCAGCTGAGAAACACAAACCATGAGCCACACGCTCTGAACCATCAGTCACCTCCCTCTGGTCCTCAGCCTCAGCCTGTACTCATGGTGTGACACCCACGCAGCACAGGGATACAACAGGAAAAGCAAACTGGGAACCTTTGGACCTAAAGGCTTTCATTCTGAACTTGTCTGGCATTCTCATACCCCTCCTGCAAAAACATCTTGGTTTTATTTCTGGTTTTCCTTTGGTTTTTTTATTTTTAGAGAACATTAATATTCATCCAAATAGTAATCTAGTAATGGTATTCCTAAAATTCTTATTTTTTTCAATAGCATACAAAGAATGGTAATAGATAATGGTGTAAAAAAGGAAAAAAAACCCTGAAATATTACAGTATTCCTGCATGCAACTCGTAAATGGCTTAACCAGCTAGGCAGCAGATTTTGCAGGCTAAAACTTGTGGTAACAGTAAAGATGCAATCGGTTAGCAACGGAAAATTACACATTACATATTTTCAATCAAGTTGAGCCGATTTACACTTATTTGTAAGTATGGACATTCAGAGGTATTCTACAAAGGAGTCCCGCTTCTGTAATAACCTTCAGCCTTCTTTTTCCAGAAGAAAGGACACATTCACCTCTCACTAACTGCAATCTTTTTATTTTCTGCCTCAGGTTCCCCTCCATTTATTTCATCAGGAATTTCTGCAGACATTCAGTACAGTTCAGAGTCTAAAATTAAGTGTATGGCATATTATTATAATAATATACTATTATATGTCTAATTATATATAACGTATAATACATAATATATATTATCACAGAATCACAGACCGTTAGGGAT